ATGACTGCTTCGAAGGGCGGAGGGCCGGGATCTCAGGTTCAAATCTGTGAGTGACATGAAATTTCCGAGTCACTGAGCTACTGAGCTCAGCTTCCGTAAGTTTGAGGGAAGGAGGCAGCTTTCCTTTAAGATGAACACTAGTTCTTTTGTCACATGTTGTTTGACTTCAACCCACCGGCTCAGCTGAGACAAGTGCCCTAAAGGGGTCCCGGTTGATTGCGACATGTTCTCCTTACCGTCGGCTGACTTGGAACATAAGGAAGAACAGAAGTCATCCGTGCCTCGGACAAATTCAGCCTGTCCGTTGCTAGGGTGCCAATTGCACGCTTTGGGGGGCCCAGCTGGCCCTTGGCCCAGGTATGGAGGGAAGGGCGGCGGCGCAGGCGGCGGCGCATGCGGCGGCGCATGCGGCGGCGAATGCGCTGGCGGATGCGGCGGCGGATGCGGTGGCGGGTGGTGGGACGACTGGAGCAGCTGGGGCTGGGGCGAGGCTGGTGCTGACCCATGGAGTGCCATGGGCGCTGCCATGGCTATGATGTCTGGCCCGCTCCTCAATGGGTGTGGCTCAAAATGAAACAGGGGTTACGCAGGTTTTGGTCCATGTTTCCACTTACCGGGTTGATGTTGGTGCCGGTTGTTGACCCACCACCGTATTTGGCCTTGCTCCTGAGCTTTGTCCTGTGCGACTCTACATGTTAGATGTTGAGACTCGAGCCGAGAAGAATATGGGCTCGCAAGTTTGCAAAATGCCCCCGAGGCAAAGGCAACGGCAAAGGCTCAGAGCATCCTGGCTGATAGGAGCTTGGGCGTTGGCGACTAGGGCGTTCCCGCATCGTGAGGACAACAGTTGCTTGTTTAGGGGAATCCCTTGGCAGGCACTTGCCGCAGCTGTTTGTTAATTATGCAACATAGGGCAATGCGCTAACTAGTAACTGACATGTTGTTCCTTGAGATGCCCTCACCCCACTCCAATCACTTTGACCCCCCTGACACAGTAGTACATTGTACATAGTACACAGTTTTTTCATGTTTGTGATAGCGTGGATTTGTCAGTGTCCCACATTCTCCTCATGGTTTTATTCGATGGAGCACACCATTGTTTGATCTATGTAGCCTGCGCAAAACGTCGGCGGCTGGTGAATGGGCCTCGTGCTTGCAAGCTGTAATGGAAGGCACGTTTCTTCCCCAGAATTAGCTCCCCTTTTTGCTTTTTTGCTTTTTGGGGGTCCCTTTGTTTTCCACCAACCAGGCAAAAAGATAATTGTTTGCTGGGGTCCAAATCCACCCTAGGTTTTAGTGATCCCTTTGGCTAATACCAGCTTAGCGCTCCGGCCGGGGGCTCAGGAAAGGCTTCTCGCAGAGCTTCCAGCCCAGCTACCAGGCCAGAGCAGGCGGGAAGGCTGTTGCGGCTCAAGTTCCGGGAATGGACGCCCCTGCAATTTTCGGTGACAACCCGATTTTCGGTGACAACCCATTCCAGCCATCCATTCCGATTGACGTTTGCGGCGAATGTGCGGGTACTCCCTGGGGATGCTATTTCGGGGTCCCGCACGGGATACCGGCAAGAAGCGTGTGGCGTGAGTGAGCCCGAAGGTTGATTGCACCTTCCGGGTTTTACAAACGCATAGTTAAATGCTTAATGTCAAGGCCTTGATGAACATTTTGCCGAACCTCAGGCGACTGGACATGCGAGTGTGGCAACATCAATTTTGAGACCCGCCCAGGCCTCAGCGGGATCTCGCAGGCATGGGAAAGCCATGGAGTTTGCAAGGGCTTGGTTTCGTTGGTTTGCCACTCGCATGGCAACCCCTCTTTCCACAGCTGCCTTACAGACTGAAATCCGAGGAGTGAAGTGCAACAGATTCAGCTGTGGCAGAATGAAGCCGGGCTACGCGGAGGGCGATTGGCTTTGTCGCAAGAGAGCGACTTGGAGAGATCAGATCACGTCAGATCACTGGACCTCAAACCGGCAGAATCTACAAATCTGCCTATTTTTTGGCTTTCGCTCACTGAGTCGGGGGTATAACGAGCGAGGCTCACCATACTAAAGGTCCTTTACTTGGGGATCCAATTCTTAATTCAAGTTTTTGGAATTATAGTAAAACTTGCAGTAATGAATGGGCTCATTCGGCCTATGTTGGATGGCAGGTAAGGCGGTTGGGGATCCCCCGTTGATGAATCCTCCGTTTAGGGACCAGGCCAGAAAAGCTCTGGCTGATTGGCTCCAGGTCGTGTCACCATGAGGTTAAAGCTGCGGCAGTTTTTGCGACCTAACGTCAGGCGGTTTTGCAGCTGGAGTTTGCTTTGTTGACTGTGGAGCTGACTGCATGGTTTGGACTTTGGATGAGGGAAGCGATGTGAGCTGTTGGGCATTTGGCCAAGTGAGCCACCTGAAGGCGTTTCAAACAAATCATGCAGCCGGATTGACCCGTAGCAAGGAATGCCGGCAGCACAACACGGTGATGAACCAGGCCAGGGTGGATCTTCGTCCTGGAATCGCTGGATTCTTGCTAAACTCGACTGGGAAGTTCTACGACACCACCGAAGGGTTCAATTACACGCTTTCAAAATGCAGTTGTCACTTCGCGGGGCCCGGGCCACTGGCAAACTTTGAGCAGTTCGCAGAGTGTTTCTCCAGAACGGGCCAGCCAATGGCCTACCATAATTTGTCGGTCTCAGAAAGGCAGCGGCGGAGGATTCCCCAATCCCGATTTGAGCCATGTTCACCCGCAGTCTTCTGATAGAACTCCAATGGTCTTATCCCTGGATTGACTCAAGGACACCACCAGCGTAGAAAATCGAATAGGCATTTGTGTGACTCAGAGTGCCACCAGCGTAGAAAACGGGGAAGAAGAAAGGAAAAAATGAGCGCTGGTCACGAGGCATGGGTTTTGGTTTGGTAGCAGCCTGGTTTGCCAGGTCTGCCAAGTCTGCAGCACTCCAAGGCCCGAGGGCTACTGAGCGCTCGCACCGCGCACGGACGCGGATCGCGGATCGCGGATTTGCCGATCGCGGATCACTAGAGCATCGACTCCAGCTGAAAGGATGCAATTAGATGGCGGGGGGAACCTCAGTTAGTAACCCCACATGGATCTTTGGGATGGAAGTGAGTGTTCTTGGAGTGTTGATGTAAAGGTGAGCGGCATGGCAGTCGGCCAAGTCGCCGAGATGTATGAAACTCCGTGCGGAAGAGTCTCACCAGACCTGGAGATGGGAAGGGCAGCGCGTGTTAGAAACCCGAGCGATGCTTATGCAGTGCATGCGGCAGCTTTCTTGCACGAACTCGCCCAAACAAAAAAACTGGCACTTTCGTTTGGAGTTGCATTCAGATTCCATGGTCTATTCGTTTTGGATCACGAGGCAACTAGTAATTAGCTGCTAGCTTGTCTTGGATACTTGAGCACCCCAGGCATTGTAGATCATAAGTGATAGGCCGAGAATACTTGCCTGACATTGCAACCTTCAAGAAGGCCTGATTTGCAGATGGAATGATATGGCTTCTCTTTGTTTGACCTTTGATCATCCTAGCCTTTTGGAGACTTGCCGCAGCCAGCAGGCATTTGTCTTTCTGCAGGCGTCTGAGGCCGCTTTCTTTGGTTACCTTTCCGATGGTTGGGCATGTTGGGCCCGTGCTCCTCCAGATTCTCAGCCAAGTCGCTGGAGAACTGCAGCCCATTCTGCTATCTCCTGCTCTTTGAAATCCCTGGAGTCCCGGCCAGGCTGATTTAACCCTTTATTTTTGGTGGCCTCCATGAAAAGAGTGACCAGTTTTCTGATCCGCAATGGTCCCAAGTCCCTAGTGAATAAGAGCAGTGTTTTAACAATGCCCTGCCAAGAACTCACTTGCCCGGTGATTTGACCTGGCCCCTCTTTGGCCATGGCAACAGGCGATTTCCCTTGCAAGCACGCCTCCTACGCAACTACCAAACCAGCTGCTGGTTTCATCTGACTGGGTCCCTTAAAGCACTTTCATGTTTGAGGTGTTCTCGAAATTACTTTTGGGGCCGACTTTCCTTAACCTACCATTATCATTTCCTCAGAAATTTTGAGGATGTCATGGACCCAGTTTGAGGTGGAGCGCTTGAAGCAGGGTGAGTTCTTTAAGGAGGTGCCTCTGTGCTTCGCTGCCGCCCGGTGGCCCAGATGCGAGCGATCGCTCGGTCGGCGTGTCCGGTGGGTTTGTGGCTTTGAAGCTGCTGACGTGTAGGGCCCGTGGCCCGTTCTGACTGCTGTTGCTATCAGCAATGGAAAGCAGCATGGGCCACAAGAAATGCACGTGTTTCGAATGGAATGCATCCGAGATGGACGTGCGGACGCTAGCGGACGGCGGCCTGCGGGTCAGCCACTGAGTTTCGCTCCGAGCCGATCGGCGATCGGCGATGTCCCATTCATTTGCCCTTGTCACATTGTCCAGGCTCAATGGCCACCGTTTCATCCCACCGAACCCGAATGGAAACCGGCACAGAGAGGCTGAAGCCTGGCTTTCCAAGCTCAGGTGTGCAACATCATTCAGGTGGACCCCAGTGTCCCGCGCTTCATGCCCTCATCCTTGGCTGGGGCCACGGAGAGGGCTGGAGAGAACCAAATTCGAAGACTGGTGGACATGGAGAACTTCGAGGGTGAAATTTCTTGCAACGATGGTGGAGGTACAGGAGCTACAGAGGAAGCTGTTGGTGACTACCAAATTGCGAAGGCAATTCCCCTGTCCACTTCCATGATTGTGAAGAAGGGGCTCTGGAAGAGGATTCGTCGGTCGAAACCAGTCCATTTTTTGCAGGATGCTGTTCGGGACTGGCAATTGGCAACCTTCTTTCATCCACGGCTTTGTGCCTGGCGCTGCTGTTTGGCCGGGCTTCTCTGCCTTCGGAGAAATGGCTGCAAACATTTAGGAGAACGATTGGCCCTTTGCGGGAGAAAGATAAAAGAAAGAGGTAGCCAAACCCGGGTTATATTCTGGCCATGGTGATGAGGATTGCTGGAACGACTGAAGCCGTAGAAATTCCTGTAGCTCAAGTCTTTGAGCCAGGTCAACGGCATCATCAAGACACTCGTGTGCAATGGTGCCACGTATTTGAAGATGGCGCCGCAAGCATAGCTTCAGTTGCGCTGTCTGCAGCATTTGACACCTGTTGTTGCAAGTCGTATGGGCCCTGATTCACGGCACATTTCCTACGCGGAATCGTTTGCAGGCTTCGCCGTTGATGTTTGTCCAAGGCAGACGCAGCTTCCAGAACCTCTCGCCGTGGAGGCCCGATCCAATGGGTGAAATGCGTGAAATACTAAGCCCGCAACTCGGGGCTCAAACAAAAGGCTTAGACTCCACCAGCTTTCGGTGCGGCACGACATGCAATGTGAGAACTTGCCTCCTGTGTTTTATTTGCTAGGCGGATTGCCCAAAGCTCATTGGTCATTCACCAACCTCTCCCTTACATTCCATGGTAGAATCTTAGTAGAAAGGAAAACGACTGCAAGAACTGCAACTGTTGTCCTTTCATACCCAGCCTCGTTCTCCGGAATGGCCAAGCGCAGGGGCCCTCGTCCGCGGAGGCTCTGGAGCAGGCAGCGAAGCTGAGGGGCCATGGCGGAAGCACAGGGTCCGGCTGGTTGAATGCGTGTGGTGTGGTATATATATGTGATGCTCTCGCAGGCCCGGTCACTCATTTTCACTCACTTCGGCCGAGCGAATGTTCTGAGTTTCAACATGCTGCCATACTGCCACTTTCTCCCCCAGGGCGTTTCTGATCAATAGGAGTATGCCCTATCATGCCAGGCTGAAGCATGGATACAGCCTTTCAATGACACTCCTTCATTTAACTGGCCGGTTTTCAGTGCTGAACAAAAGCGCGCGGGATCAAACCAAGAAGCAACTGAGCTACGTGGAGCTTTCCAAGCACCGGCTACCCGAAACAAAGAGCTATTCCACCGAGACTCGAGCAACCCTGTCATCTCATGACAAGGTGAGGACCGGCGGACAGACAGTCCAGATGTCCAGGCAGGTGTTGGCATGCCTGCCAATTATGGGCATGAGTTGGCGTGCTTTTGGACAAGCATGGCACGTGGCAAGGGAGGTACAGACATTGATTTGCAGTACCATCCTTTCCGGTTTGCTTTGACTCCCAAATCTGCCAATGCATCCAGGTTGCTGGCAGAGGTCCTCGGAGTGTCCACGGAGGCACGGAAAACTTGGACGGAGCGCTGCGAGCGCAAAAATTGGTGCAGGCGAACTCCGTCTCCCATGCCTAGGCGCGGTTCATGGGAAGCCGGAGCTGGGCTGCGAAATGGGCCGTGTCTTCACGTGTGGAATGTCCCAAGGCAGGTGTTTTCCTTTGAGGCTCCCCTAGAACCGTCCATGGAGGCGAAGTGGCTTCGCCACTGCGCCTCCAAACAGACACGTGGACTGAAGCTTTAGGCTACGGTCTACCGGCGCGCGATTTTCCTGTTTTGAATGCTCGCGAATGCTTGGACGGAAGCCGGAGCAAGGCCCTATTGCGAAAGTTGTTTTTTTGGTGCTGTGTGTTTTTGCTTGCTTGCCTTGGTTCAACTGAGCTCAATTATTGTTGGTGTGCTTGGCATCGGATGGATAAGGTTCCAGACGGGGAACCCGTCACGTCCAAATCGCCGGAAGCACTTTGAAAGGCTTCTGGCTGGAACCCGGTTGGAATCGGAAAAAGGACGCGTTGAGCAACGAATCGGATCAGTGAGCAGCATGGGCTGCTCGCCAAACCTGGTTTCATGAGTTTGACAAACTCCTCGTCAATTCAGGCTCGACACTGCACGCAAGGCAAGACTACATGCAACAAACTAGACGCCCGAGTTCGGGTGCTCATAGCTCGTGATCCTGCTGGAAGCCATGCTGTCATGGCCACTTCAAACCATCGAGCAGGTGACCCACAAACAAACCCTTGGATAGTTGAAGGCTAGTAGAGGACATTCGGAGCCAGAAAGAAGCCCCCTTTTGATTCTTTGCATGGCTTTGTGTAGACCCCTTTAGTACATTGATTGGAGTGTGACTCTCAAGTCACGACCTGCACACATTGCATGTCAGTGTCCTAAGTAGATAAAATCATTCCTGGACGATCATGGATGTGTCAGCCCGCACACGTGCAACACCATGGAGAAGACCCAGCCAGAATAGGATTCAATCCAAGAAAAACAGGTATTCCTGCCAGGTACTATTAGCAGCCTCCTGAAAGCCACACACACACACGAAGAGACACACATCCACCCACGCGCCAACCGCGCCAACCGCGCCACCGCGCGCACGCGCCAACCCGCGCACGCTGGTTTTTGATGAAGTCTGAGAGCTGCTGGCTCGGCAGCGTGCAGCCGGAGCTGTGCTGCACCTCGCCCCAGGGAAGGGAACTTTGCTTTCCCCCCACCCAGGACTCGGTGCCTCGAGTCGATGGGTGTGTTGACTTGGGTTCAGGGGAGCAAACAAATGAAATGGCCAACTTGAAGAACACCACCCGTGACCTCCCGGATTTGAGCTCGCGGTTTCTTGAAAGTCATCCATCTCCATAGGCCAGGCATCCCAGACCGTGCATGGCGCTTCCTGAGGACTACACCTTTCAGGACTGCTGTGTGGAGCTCAGAGAGCCAGGGGACTGACCGTTTTTTTTGTGTGGCGTGCATGAAGTACCAGTGAGCACTGGATATGCGTGTGCTCCCGGAATTCGTTGCTCGATGTCTGAGATTCTATATACATTAACCTTGCGTCTGAAAATTGAGCAACGGGTTTCCGGTAGCAGGTTGGTCCGGTCTTCTGGGTCCTGGCTCTGGGTTTTGCGTGTACCTTGAAGTTGGTTTCCGGAAGCAGAACAAGGGAAACAACAGAAGAAACAACAAAACGGCAGTTTGTGTCTTTTGGATCCTGGCTCTGGCTGGCTCTGGGTTGTTCGGGTACCTCCAAGCTGTCTAGGGAAAAGGAAATAAAAAAACGTGTCGCCTCTAGGCACTGAATATCTTCAGAGCTTGGAGCCTGGGGAGGCAAGGGGTTGATTTGTCGCGCTCGAACTTTGGGAGATTCTCTTGATCTAGACAACGGGTTGATGCGCTGCGGTTCGTGGTTTCTAGTGGGATTGGGGAGAAGCAAATGGCTGTGTCAAAAGCGATTTGGACCCCAAAATGGTGGTGTTCCGCTTGGTTTCGCTTCTCAGCTGACACAGGAACCAAATTGAGGGGTGGGCGTGTTTGTCTGATCTTTTTGTGGAAATCACCTGTTCTTCCCCTGGCTTTTCAGCAATCTTTTGGTACTCTGTCAATGTCCTACAGGAATGGATCCACAGACTTGAGGTTCCAGGATGTTGCCTTCTCCCCCAGTCCACCTGAAAGGTATCCGGTGAGCGGCTCATTTACTGACATGGCACGCTCCAAAACAGACCTTGGCAGTTCGCAAAGGAAACGCTGGATTTAAATGATCTTGTAACAAGATTGTTATCCAACTGATTTCAGCCTGAAAGCAAGCTGGCCAGAATTCTCCGGGTTGACTGCCCAGAATTCTCCGGGTTGACCCTCCCACAATGCTTGCCGCAAATCCTCCTTCCGCTTTCCTGCTTTGGCTTCTTTGCGCCCTCCTTCCCCACCGCTCTTTTGCGGCCAACTCCCTCATGTTTTGCTGCTTGCCATGTATGTGTTTTTTGTCCACATCTTTCTTGCCGCTCTTTTCTTCGCATATTCTCCCGCAATTGTCCTCACATTTCTCCCCACCGACCTTGTTTGCTCCTTGTCGCTTTCTTTCCGATCTGACTGCGGTCTCAAGAGTCCTTTCTTTTTGCACGGTGAAGCGCCTCCATCATGATGTTCAGTTTCCCATCTTCGCACCATTTTGTGCATCTACTGTTTGCTCGAGGCTCTCAATTGTTTTACGATGACTTCATGCCGCATCCCCCCCTCCCCCAAACCGCCAGCACTTGCTCGTCCAACATGGGCTTTTCGTTGGCATCGCGTTTTGAGATTTCGTGAGCTCCCGTTCCCAGATGAATCTTTGCTCACCGTTCTGGGGTGCTACCGAATCTTTCTGTTTCAGGTGCCCCTCAATTGGTGGTTTAGATTAGTGGTTTGGATTTGGATTTGACCTTTTAGTGCTCGAGGGTAAATGGGAGACCCCGCCAATTCGGTTCCAAACCGCCCGTTTTTGGAGCTGGCGATTGGCTCGGGAGGGATCGAGGGGCCTGGCTGGGAGGTGACCTGCGGCTCTGATGGGCCCACCTGCAGCTGGCTCTTTCGTGAGTCCCAGGCGTTGGATTTCTCGAAGCGTCCGCTGGTGCAGCAGTTCTGCTGGGCAGGTCTGCAGCGCGACTTGGCAACTAAGACGTGGAAGCCGTGGTTCGGAGCATTTTGCATTAAGTGTGGCTTTGGCGTGTGGCTTTGGCGTGTGTTTGGTGTGTGTGTGTGTGTGTTGCACGCATGGCTTGGGTTCATTGCATTTTGTTGCTGGTGCAAGTGCTAGTGTTGCTGGGATTTCGAGAAGTCTGAGTTCAAATGATGATGAGACTTTCCCAGCTATCCCTGAGGTCGCCCTGACATCCTCCAAACCATGTCCATATGAGTTGAGCAGATGTTCAACACCTTTTGGCCGCTCGAGTAGCGAATTCTGCTGGTTTGCTTGATTCCTTGTTTACACTCCCTGTTGCTGTTGGCGTTGTTTTTGTAATTGTTATTGTTCTTGTTGTTCTTGTTATGGTTCCTGTCTGTGCTATGAGTGTCCTTGTTGTTTTTGTTGGTTGTCTTGTTCTTACTGTTCTTGTTGTGTTTGTGGTTCTTATTGTTCTTCTTGTTGCCATTGTTGTTGTTTGTTCATTCCTTTCTTCTCGTGGTTCTTCTTACTAGTATTAGTTGTCTTGTCATGATTATGGTTATTATTGTGTTTCGTCTTGTTCGCTATTCCTGTTACTTGTCTTGTTCTTGTCGTGGTGGTAGTGCTGCTGCTGCCGCCACCGCTGCTGCTGCTCTTGCTCTCGCTCTCGCTCTTGCTCTTGCTACTATTGTTCTTGCTCTTGTTCTTCTTTTATTTCTGGCGTTGTTGTCGCTTGTGTTTGTTAGTGGCTGTGGTCGTAGTGGCTGTGACCGATAGTGATTGGAGTGGCTGTTGGTCGTTGCTGTTGCTGCAGCCCTTGCCACTCATGCACCAGCCCCTTGCAAAGGCACCGGGCTTTTTGGCGGCATGCTGCACACGGAGGCGTTCAACGTGGCCTAGCCGCACAGGAGCTGCGCTTAAGCGGGGGATCTATTGGCAGCCCCTGAGCTCCCCAAAGAAGCTTCCCTGGTAGGGTGCGCGAAAGTGATGGCTCAAAACAGATTGCGGCTGAGTTTCCTTGTTGGGGGGGGGGCTCTGAGGTCATGGCGAATAGGTAGGACCCCCTGTTGGCAAACCTGAAGCTGACGGCAAGCATGCTCCAACTTTCAGAGGATTGGACTGGCCCCTAGGTAGAAAAACCCAAGAAATTACGTCAAAAGCCAACAAATTACACGCAAAGACCAATAAATTCACCTACAAACACCAATAGTTTCACATCCAAGCACCAATAAATTACATACAAACACCAATAAAATCACATACAAACACCAATAAACTCAAATCCGAACACCAATAAATTCACATCCAAACACAAATAAAGTCACAGACAAACACACAAACACCAAAATGTTCACCTGCAAACACCAATAAGCTACATCCCTGGCTTAGGTGCGGTTGGCTCATCTCTCCTGTTTCGCCGGCATGGCCTTTCTGCTATCCGCCTGCGCGGTGGCTGAGTCCGAGTGCAAGGCGCCTTCAAAGGTGGAGAGCTCTACCCACGGAGAAGACCCGGTGCCTCGACAAGTGGCTGGGACCCCGCGCGTCTCTCCATTCCATAGCATCCCCCTACCAATTGCCAAGGGTTTCGGAGCTTGGAGCTGTGAGGAGAATGCAGGTGAGCCACAATCAAAGCCCGGGTAGGTGAAGGTTAGCAAGGGACGATCCCAACCATAAATAGCTGAGGATATCCGCCTTCTTAGTTCTTTACATGGTTCTGGTTGAACCATTTTTGTACCGGGCTTTGATTATACTCAGCTGCTTCCCACAAACGTCCTCATGAAGTGTTTTTTCACCTGAGGGGTGCCACCTAAGGGGGCTGAGTAAAGTCCTGTGAACCTCAGCCCATCCCAACTCTCGCCCTTGGTTTGGAGAAAGCTGAAGACTGAAGAATCCTTGCGCAATCTGGAAGCTTCGCCTGATTCTTTCGCGTTGACGGGAGCACGGGAGCCTTCGGGAGATCTTGGGAAACCTTCAGCCAGGGAGATGTCGGAAGGTTCTAAGAAAGGCCTAGAGGAGAGTTGTAGGAAGGGTTCAAAGGGGGCGAAACGGGGTAAGTAAAGGCGTTGATCATGAGTGGAAGATCTGTTCCCCAGTTTGCTGAAAGCTATAGGGGTTCTAACTTCTAATGAAGAGGGGAAAGTGATTTGCGAGATCGAATCGACGGCTGGGCGCTAGAGGGCATGCAGTTTGGGGTGCTGGTGCAGGTGCTGTTTGAGGTGCTGGTGACGGTGTGGGCGCACTTGGAAGATTGACAACCGGGTGCACGGGGCATGCAATTTGGGACGGTGGGCGCAAATTGATGGCGAGGTGCTTAAAGGGCTGCTGTTGCTGGTGACCGTGCGGGCGCATTTTTGCGAGATTGGCGGCTGGGTGCGGGGTGTGTGATGACGGTGCCTGACCTGCACATTTGCAGAGAAAACGGCGGCAGCGACGTGTGTGTAACGACAAACCCGAGCAGTGTGCAATCCTCGGCTGTTTTACGCTATTTGGGGTCTATGCTCGTGTATTTTGGGAGACTTGCAAACTTGAAAAGGTGCTTTGCGTTCTTCAAAGCCAGAGCAGCAAACGAAGCCACGAAATCTTCCAAGCTGCCCTGTCGCTTGGTCAGCTCTGGTTGGCAATGACCACCCCTCATGCCACCAAGCCCATGGGCATGTCTCTTGGCTCCGACTTGAATTGTTCGCAACAAATTATTGCTGTCAACGCCTTTCTAGTGTAAAGCTGTGAACCAGGGTCAGCCGGAGGTTGTCAAAATCTTTACCATCCAGCAGTGAGCCATGGAGTGGTTTTGCGATTGCTCATGGCAACTCTTAGCTAGACCAACTGCAAACAATGGGCCCCTCACAAGAAAACGGGACACTGCCTGCGCACACGTGGCTTAACCTGGTTGGTTCATGTCTCTTTGCGGCAAGACAGCTGTAGCAAGTTATCACGCGCCGATAGGTGCAAGCGGGGGAGACTCGTTGTTTCACGCGTGGTTTGCATGCGCAGCGCATGTAGTGGAAGGGGGTGCTACTGACGCAATGAAGTTTTGTTCTGCTGACGCTTCTTACTTGTTCTTGGGCTTGCGCTTCCCCGCAGGTAATCCTTAGTTGGCAATTTGGATTGGTGGTTTGGGGTTTGTTCCCTGGTTCTTGTAGAGGACAAATGGGGAACCGCCCCCCAAATTGCCAATTACTTGCAAATGAATCTTTGCAAAACCCACCCCCGGACTTGACACCTTTGTTTGTAACTTCCACGATATTTTGTTGGTAAGGTGCCCAGAAGTGAGGGGCTGGGGCGCTGTTGAAGCAAGTCCTGGTGGTGCTTCTTGTTTAATCTATTGTTTGCGCTCTATCCTCTTGACAGGTTCCGGCAGGATTGGGGTAGGGATCTTTGGTTTGCCTCAGCCCGCTCACATTCTTGTCCCTGATCCCGTCGTTTTGTTTGCACGACTGTTTCCTTTTGAAAGGTCCCCGCAGGACTTGAGTAGGGGCTTTGCCTCCCTTTGCTCATGTTCCTTTTCCCTGGCTGGGGATTCGAGTAGTTTTTGTTAGCAACTTCCTTTGCTTAAAAGGCTCCCGCGTGGATGGGGCTGCTGACGCAACCAAGCCGTTTCTTGCTGAGGTTTCTTGTCCTTCCTTCGAAAGGCCCCCGCACTTAAGTAGGGACCTTTGGTTGGCCGCTTGTTCATGTTCTTTGCCCTGGGGATGCCTGCTGCTTGTTGTTTGCGAGTTCTTGTTTTTTTTTGGGGGGGAAAGGCCCCCCAAAAGTCTTCAAGTGCTTCTAGTGCTATCAAGCTCTTTCCTGCTGATGCTTCTTCACTTTCTCTTCTGATCGCACCGTTTCCTTATACGCAAGACTTGAGTAGGGCCTTTGGTCTGCCTCCGGTTCATGTTTGGGCGGCAGCCGTGTGTCTACCGACCACCAAGCGCATCGCGCTGGCGGCATTGCAGCTCTCACCGAAACTAAATCGTCACATCTCCAGGGCTGTCGGATCACTCAGAGTTTATCCCCACTTCTGTGATACAAGAAAAAGTGGCTCCTCCTTTTGGGTTCAGTCTTTGGGGTCAGGCCCTTCCTTTCGTATCACAGATTCGTGGGTTCCATTTCAACCACAGCCCACAGCTCCGACAACTGCGACGGCGGCCGAGAGGCCCTGAGCTTCTTCATGGTGGCCTTCCGTGCCCTGGGGATGGTGAGCCACTGCTTGGACGCCAGCGACTGGCCCATGACCCTGGCGGAGTTTTCCGCGCGCCTCAGCGAGCCCACGAGTGGTCCTAGCATCCGCGGCGCGAGTCATTTGCTAGTGCTGCAAGCGCGCAAGCTGGAAGCAAGAATTGTCCTTCTTGCGCCGCAGGCAGCATCTTGTTAAACCTTACGGTGTGTGAGATGGTGGTGAAATCGAAGTGAGTATGATCTGTGTTGCACCGGTGGCTGTGGTCCGCATATTGTTTGAAAGGAGGCCTCCAATCAACCACCAGAGGGACGGGCGATTTCTCATTCCACCCAGCCACATGCTGTTGTTGAAGCCGCCTGGAAGAGCTACATGGCCGAACGGGCGTGTAAGCATGCCCCCAGCAAAATGATATGTCTTTGGGAGATTTGGGGGGGGGGGGGGTGGATGAAGGTGAAGGCCCCTCGATGCTGGTCAAAATCAGGTCGGTTGTGAAGGCCAGCGGTGGCCGGGTGGCCGGGTCGTTGTTAGATGTATTGCTGTTCTTGCTGGACTGCTGACCGTGAACTGGAACATGTGCGATGCAGCAGCGCCGGCCTTCCACGACATGTCCAAGTATTGGGAAAGGGGCCTAGAACCAGGCTTGGACGCTGAGACGCTGAGACGCCGCAAGTGTGTGCAATTCACACGTGCCGATGTTCAGATGTCGGCCGGCTAGGCTCCTCATTGGCAGTGCTTTCAATGAGGCAACGCCGGTTCTCGATATGTCGTAGTTTAGTCAGTGGTGAGAATTTGCATAGCCCTTCATAGTGCCGTTTGCCGATGAAATAGGCAGAACACTTGACACTTCAATCACTCCGCGCATGCTTGTTTGGTCTATCAGTTCCCTTCCAACTATCCACATGCTGTAAGGGTTGAGGGCGTGGGTCGGCGCAGCTCATTGCTCGCCGATGCGCATCCATGTTTTGGCCGAAAGGCGAAGCTACCTGAGGAATTTCCAGCTCTTCGTTGAGCACGGCTGCGGCTTTACTTGGCTACGGCCAGCCAGAGGTTTGCCCTTCATCCGGGGCGTGTCAGGGGAGACGCTGCATGACGTGGTGCCCTGGGCCAAAGGGGTCCACAACCATCACGAGGTGCACCTCGATCTGCATGGCGTTTAGTGATTTAACGTTTCGCCGGGCTGCAAGGAGAAAGTCAGGGCAGGTTGGTGGCTGAAACAAGGGGCATGCCACATGCTGCTGGCTTTTTGCTACTTGTGCTTTGCTTTGAAGGGGCACCCACGAGTTCGTGCCAAGTCTAGGATATCATTTATACGGGAACATGTTTGTTAGTGTTCATTGAGTTGGTTCAGGGCGGAAGTGCTTATGCTTGAGCCTGCTCACTCTCTTGTGCTATCTGTCTATAATTTGCGAACTGTCAAAGCCACGAGCTGAAGATTGGCATTTGCGCTTGCAAACATATTGCATGCATAAATACCTATTACGTTGTATTGCGACAGCAGTCCTGCTGATGACCAAGCGCCAAACTCAACAAACTGTGAGGGAAAGAACGGAACTTGACAAGTTAAGTGGCAAGCATCCCATTCACTCAGACCATAAGAACCAGGCAGCTGTGGCTGTTTGGCTTTTGCCAAAGCTGTGTGTGTTGGCCAGAGACATGCCACGCTACTGTTCCATGCATTGTCCTGTCCTTTAGGGGTAAGAGCGGTCTGGATGGCATGTGCATGCCCCTTGCTTCTTCTGATCTGTTTGGGTCCCAGTGATGCTCTGTCCCATCGGAAAATCATAGGCCGAGCATGGGAGGGATGTTTGCGGAGTCAGAAGCAGAAGCTGCTGGTAGTGTTTGGCTGGTCATTTTCGGCATCCCAGTGCTGTAAGACTTGAAGCAAATCTACGTGCAGTAGTTGCGCAGGCTGAGTCTTGATGCTGCTTGTTTGCTTGGCTGCCCTCCCTGGCTCCTCAAATGCGCTTCCACGTTTGCAAGTGGCCAATTGCCATTTGCAGCTTGCGGCATGAGCTTGATGGGGCCCCGCAGTCAGGCACATGCGCATCAACTGGGCCTTGGGCGCCTGGGACAATCGGATGTACTGGGAGCAAAAGATGCGAAACATGCCAGGCCAGCTTCTCAGCATGAAGCACCAGGAAGGGGGCTTGGCCAAACAAGAGCGGACAATGGTTGAACGCACCGACTTCCCTGGAAGGCAATAAGAGTCATAATACTTGGTACCCTCCCTCCCGCCAACATGGCACCTGAAAGTGCCAGGAAAAGAAAATTGATCTTCCAGGAACCCTCAGATGTTATGTGTTTGTGGGAGGAAGGGTAACCCCCCCCCACCAATTGACAGGGAACCTGACGTTCAGGGGTTCCTGGTTCGGTTTTTTTCCTTTTACAGTGAGTCCCTCATGTTAGGTTCCATGTGGAAAGGGTGGAAGGGCCACGTGTCGAACATGCGCCTGGCCCTGCCCAGGACCCACTCGATTTCTGTCATCTGCATCCGGGGATGCTTGGCGCTTGGTTGCTGGGAAGTATCATGGCAATGTGCAACATCAATAGCTACTCCTGCCCCTCTGTCCCACAGATTGTGGTATTTTGAATTTTAGCTTCCATAGAGACCTATCTTCAACCCATGTGTCGAAGATATTCAGATACTCTAATTACCTTCCAGCCACAAAGCCATTAAACACCGCCTTCAACTGTAGAAGCCCTCTTAAAACACACCTTGAGAGGCAGATACCCCTCTTGGGCCTGAGCGCCTAAGGAGCGGGGAGCTGCGGATGCTCATCCTGGGCACCGGCCCCGTGGCGGCGGAGCGCACCTTCCGCTGCGGCGAGCTCCAGGGCTCCGTGACTTCCTGCGACGCCTTCAGCCGCCTCTACCGGCGCCTGGCGCAGGCGGCGGTTTTTTTGGGCGAAGCCAGCTTCGTCGTGGTTTTTTTGGGGCTTCCTTTTAAGCCACCCAAAAAGCTCCACCAGCTTGAGACTCATGTCTGTGTCATGATGTGTGTGCGTGTGTGTCTTAACTTGCTGGTGCGATAGGTAGGGAATGAGACATGGAATGAACCCCAGGCTGTGCAACTAAAAGGAAAACGAGCCGTGGCAAAGATCATTTCCTTGGGGATCCGATTCTGATTTCAGCGTTTGGAGTTATCTTGTTGGTCCGTTCAAAGGAGGCCTCCAGCAAGGGATGGTTTAGAAGGTTCATTCCATTTCTCATTCCCTACCTATCGCATCAGCAAGTCCGTTCCTGGACTTTTTTTAAGATTTTGGGAAGAGCTTTTTCTGGCAATCCCCGGGAGGTGAGAGGGCTCATGTTTGGCCAAAGTGGTCGTTGGGATGGGCCCTGCTGGAATCGCATATTCGCCAGCTGTTTTTGTACATTGGTTCGTGGGCAGACTCGTTTCAGCCAAGTTTTGACTCAGGAGACGGAGTTCCGGCCCCCCCACGGCATTCCGGAGCGCCTGGGCCAATGCTTGTGCCAAAGATCAAATGGGGTGCAGGTGGGCGCATCAGTTGATGAGAGTTGTTCAAAGGCTGCGGCAAAGCTGTTGAAACAACTGACCGCGCGGTGTCATTGCTCCACAGTCATGGGCTGAAATCAGTCAAGGAGGTAGTTGGCCAGTTCTGTTTGAGGTACTCCTATGCGACAGGCTCCTGTTTGGGGAAGGTGGCTCGGGTAGTTGAAGTTCTAGAAGTGCAGAATTCGTCATTCTCCATTGAAACAGGGACCGGCCGGCCACCAAGGTATTGTGATGTAGAAGAGCTATGGCAGTTCTATCCAAGAGACTACTTCCACGTGGTCTACGCAACCCGGCTGCTTTGGTTTGACCTTTGCCTGCTTTCGAACATTGCCAACTTCCCCCCACCCCCCACTCATCGGCAACCTGCAGTGGGGCCTAATTCAACTTCCTCACTGGAGAAAATGTTTGTTCCCCCACCCATTTCTGTTGACGTGCCAGGCCGTTCAAAAACAAAAGGCTTCGGCACAGCGGCTTTGGGGATTTGTTTTCCGAAGGTGAGCAACGCCATGGATCATACCGTGCATCCGCTGCGGGGCCTGAAGATGCTGCTGTGGGTGCTGCGCCCAGAAGGGAAGCTGATGCTTCGCCACTTCAGGCGGGGAGAACTTGGCGGCTGAGTGCTGCTCGTTACTCGGATGGCCCGAGGTTTATTGGCCCTCTGATGATCACCCCCCGCCACCCCCCCCCCCCCCGGTGCAGAGTTGGATGTGATGCTTTTTTCTGACCCCACCAAAGGGGGTCAAAAAGGAATGCTGGGCAGTACCCAAAGTAGACACTGACCTTCGCCTGCCATGTGGCAGGAATGTGCATCCCGAGAAGTGGGTGACGCTGTCGGATGGCCAGCACCAGTGGGGCTTTGATGTGGCCGGTGCCAGCGGAGACTCCGGCAGCAGTGGGGCGAGAGGAGCGAGGATGTAAAATATGCGTCCTTGAGAGAGTGGCATTTGCTTTGAGCAGGGCTCCTTAAAAGATACAGATTGTCCATTTGAAACATGGCTTTTGCCACCAACAAAGGGAACCCACCATTTGCAAGGCAATGCTCAGGTGTATAATGTAAGGATCCCTGTTGAGGTGTTGCTAGTTGATAAGATGTCCGCTGTTTTGTGCTTGGCCTGGCCATTTCAATGGCCCGTATGTCGAACCTTGGCCATGCCGGCCCAAGGACAGGAAAGCTTTCTGGTGTGGAACCATCTCCATCGGTGGAGCCTCGGCTTCAGCAAAGCTGCAGTGCAGCAATGCGCAATGCGGTACCTTTGTTCTGAGCCGCGGTGCTCACGTGGCCACGGTCTTTTTTAGGGAACCATGACCGAGGTTTAACCATGAGACATTTGGACGAAGCTGCAAGCTTGCACCATACTGAAGCAGTTTTTGGTACGAACCATGGCGTGTGCGCGACTGCTGCTGCTCGTGTCAGCTTCGGCGGCAGCACGGAGGGGTTGACAGCATGCCTGACGTGCCGCACGTGCTGCCCTCACGCTTCCTTCAAGAACTTTGAGGGCGAAATCCTGGCTGATCAGCCTGGCGTTGATGGGTATTTGTTTCGCCGTGTGTTGAAGCTGTATCAGGGTTAAGGTGGCGCGCGCGCGCCAACGCAAGGAATGTCACAGAGATTCTGGATGCAGATGGAGCGACCACCACTGCGTTCTTCAAAGAGCCCTTTGCACCTTGGCGCATCGGGTGAATCCTACCTAGGCAACTGCAGTAGCTTGGTGCATTGTGGCGCTTGCATTTGTGCCAGCTTGGCAGTGAGCAACCTCAGGCGCTGAGGGCTCACAAAGCGAGCTGTTTTGGGTCGCAACGTGAGATTGACCCCAAAAACTCAACCCCAGTTTACAAATAGGGGGTGTTCCTGGGTTTAGCGTGGATTTTTTGGGGATCAACATTGAGGTGGAGGTGGAGATCAGGAAGACGGGCAGCTACAAGCACAGCATGCATCCCTAATGCTCAGGATCAAAAAAAGAGAGCTGCTGAGCACAAGTCACAACAATACTTGTGGCAAGTTCTTTACAAGTTGTTTCGATGGTAAACCCGGTGTCAGCCACTCGATTTGGGGCTTCAATTTGAGACAAGGCAACAGGTCGCAGTGGAACTTGCACCGCAGGCACAAAAAATGGCCCGCGAAAGTCTCAAACGGTCCGTTGGTTGAGCTTCCAGTTGGGCCTTGCGGGTTTCCATATGATCCGAATGGAAGGCCAGGTGGTGATCTGGGTGTTTTATGGCTTTTTAGATGATGGTCTGCTTTTAGTTGTATTGGTTCATGTGTTTTTTCTCATCGCGCGTTTCTGGCCGCAGCTCCTTTTGCGAAATTAGGACTTTAGGATTGTGGCCATGGCGAAGCCTCATGCCACGCTGATTTTCTCCCGGCACGGGGAGTCGCAGTGGAATGTGGACAATCGATTCACCGGGTGGGTTGACGCCGCTTGCAAAGTTTCAGCCTGATGGGGCAATGGACAGGTCCAAGACCTGTCTCATCCCCAAGAGTTCCCTATCTGGGCACTGGAGAAGTGAATAATTCAGTAGCTTAAGTGTTGCTTAGGGCTGCTGTGCACCTTGAGCAAGGTGTCTCCTCAGAAGTACTGCCCTCCCCTCTTTTTGCAACCATGTTCTGGGTTACTTGTGGTTTCCTACAGGGCGTCCAGCCCCAACAGCTCGCCCCAGCCCAGCAACCCCCAGCCTAGCAAACCACTGAGAGCTGTGAGCTGAGGTGGACCTCTCCGCAAAAGGCTTGGGCGAAGCCAAGTCTGCTGGCACCTTGCTAAAATCCGAGGGCATCAAGCTAGACGTGGCATTCACCTCCTACCTCAAGCGCCCCTTGGCTAGGCTAGCTGGTTCATGGCCTCATGTGGCTTCCTGCATTTCCTACACTTGGATAGACCCTTTGAATCGTTGAGAGGATGCCCATGTTCAAAGCACCGTGTGTGTGTGTGTGTGTGTGTGTGTGTGTGTGTGTGTGTGTGTGTGTGTGTGTGTGTGTGTGTGTGTGTGTGTGTGTGTGTGTGTGTGTGTGTGTGTGTGTGTGTGTGTGTGTGTGTGTGTGTGTGTGTGTGTGTGTGTGTGTGTGTGTGTGTGTGTGTGTGTGTGTGTGTGTGTGTGTGTGTGTGTGTGTGTGTGTGTGTGTGTGTGTGTGTGTGTGTGTGTGTGTGTGTGTGTGTGTGTGTGTGTGTGTGTGTGTGTGTGTGTGTGTGTGTGTGTGTGTGTGTGTGTGTGTGTGTGTGTGTGTGTGTGTGTGTGTGTGTGTGTGTGTGTGTGTGTGTGTGTGTGTGTGTGTGTGTGTGTGTGTGTGTGTGTGTGTGTGTGTGTGTGTGTGTGTGTGTGTGTGTGTGTGTGTGTGTGTGTGTGTGTGTGTGTGTGTGTGTGTGTGTGTGTGTGTGTGTGTGTGTGTGTGTGTGTGTGTGTGTGTGTGTGTGTGTGTGTGTGTGTGTGTGTGTGTGTGTGTGTGTGTGTGTGTGTGTGTGTGTGTGTGTGTGTGTGTGTGTGTGTGTGTGTGTGTGTGTGTGTGTGTGTGTGTGTGTGTGTGTGTGTGTGTGTGTGTGTGTGTGTGTGTGTGTGTGTGTGTGTGTGTGTGTGACTGGGTGCCTCCATTTGGACATGTGAAGGTGAACACTCATGAAATCGGCAATTCGCGTGTCAAGGGTCCAGCTATTTGGTTCGTCCACTTGGGCCCGGGTACCACAAGCCCAGCTCAGTTTCGGGGAAGAAGAAAACCAGAAGGTCCCAAACAAGTGCAACTCCCTTCAAAAATGAGTTTTTGGGCAAGACTTCTGGGGAGTTCCTCCAAAACCCCATAAAAGTTTCTGGCTCCGCGGTGGCTGAAACCAGCCAGGTGCCATCAAGACCTGCGACTTGGCGCTGGAGTCGGCGGATCAGCTGCACGTGCCAGTGACCAAATCCTGGCGCCTGAACGAGCGGATGTACGGGGGCCTCACCGGCCTGGACAAGAAGGACCGAAAACGGAATGAAGACACAGGGGGAGGGATGGAGGGGTAGAAAGCCCCACCTCTTGGTGGACGGCTTAGCGATGGTGCGGCAGAGAGAGTGAGAGAGAGAGAGGAAAATAACAGGGGGAGGGGTAGACTTAAGAGCGCTCTTTTTGTTGCCAGCCAACTTTTGGAAGGCTCTTTCATACTGGTGGGCTTGCCACCAGTCCCAACTTGAATGAGGGGATGGATGGGGATTGAGGGGAAGGGAGCCAGAAACAGGGGTCCTTTCAGCAAGTCTTGGTTGTTTGGGCCGGTTTGATGAAGAGAGAATGAGCCATGAGGAACTGATTCCATTTCAGGATGGAAACGTGAGGATAACGGACAACGTGATGTTTCGGTCGGTGGACACTGGACGTTCTGCAGGACATGTTAAATGTATTTGGGTCTGCGGGGTTCCCCAAAAAAAGCACACTCACCGATGTTCCTTCCCAGGTCCAGGCTGCAAGTTGAAGGAATGGTCATTGCCAAGGGCTTGCGGTATCGCAGTGGTTGCATGTCCTATTCCGAGAAAGCCAGCGGGAAAGACAGACAGAGTTGTCCCTCTGCGCATTGCTGGTTGTTTGGTATGGTGTTTGGTGTCATGAATTGGTTGCTGTTGACCCCTCTGCAAAAGTTTATCTTTTTGTGCGTTTAGAGGAAACCCCTTTGATTTCCAAAAAAGTTAAAGTCTAAAGATCTAACCCAATAGCAGTCAAGACGCTGCAAGACAATGGGCTTTCCGGGCTCCTGCCGTCCGCTGGAAAAGCCTAGCGAGTGTGCTGGTAATGATGAGAACGTACGGCAGTCCGGGCGCAAGTTCGGTCCCAAAATCGGACAGCAGATGCTCCGTTTCCATGGGCGGGTCATTCAGGGATTCTGTGTCTGAAACTTGGCCAAGTTGCCAAATACCATTCCTTGGCAAGCCCTGCGCACCCCAGATGGCTTATGTGTGTGTGTGTGGCTTTGTAAATGTCACTCGGGCCGTCTTCAGGGTGGACACTGAAAGGAAACCAAGCAAGCCAACCACGCGAAAGCGCCCAATGGTCATGTGCTGGTTGCTTGTGCTTTCGCGCCTTGAGCAGAACAAGCAGAACACCTGGTTGTTGTTTTTTTTGCCCACGCGCGACTACATGGCAAACCTGTTGCGGGCAAGACCCGCACAGAAAAACCTCAGGAGACCGTGAAGAAGCACGGTGCGGACCAGGTGCAGGCCGGGGCTTTCCGTGTGAGATGGCTCTTGCTATGACTCTGAAACATGTGAGGGAGAAGTGTTGCACTCAACCAAGACACCAGCTCGATGAGAGTTCAAGCGGCATTGTCTCGGCAGAAAGGTGGGAGGTTCAGCTTTTACAAGCGCCACCTGAGTCTGTGATACTGGGCTTCCGCTGAACGTGCAGGAAGTATTGGAAGGGTTTCGTGGTCAGCCACAAAATCCAGCTACTTTCCAGTTCACCACCACCACCAGCAGCGGCAGCAGCAGTAGCGGTGAGAAGCCTTTCTGTTGGAAAGCAAAAGGCAGCGCACCATCAGTTGCCGCAACGTCTCCTTTTCGCATTTGGATAGGCGCTTCTTTTGCTGCATTCCAAGGTTTGGCGTCGCAGCTTTGACATTCCGCCGCCAGAGATTGAGGCAGGCAGCGAGTACGATCCCGCCAAGGAGAGGGTTGAAAACGGGACATCTGCTGAAGTGGCAGGGTGCACAGGTGGTAGCGAGGCCTATGAGCTTAAGAGCCCAGCGAGCCCTTGCGGGACTTGCAGCAAAAGGGAAGGCTCGGAAATACGGAGCTGTAGGAACCCTCAGGTTTTGCGTGTTGGATACAAACCGTGGCGAAACCGCGGATGTTTCTCATGTTTGCCGCTGTCATCCCTGTAGGCCTGAGCGCCCTTCTGAGCTTCCAATCAACCTAGCCATTGGGACTGGAATCGACCAATGCCCCGTTTGCTTTGAGTAAGTTGGCCACTATGCTGCTGATTGATTGAACTCGGGGGGGACCCCGTCACTGCAAAGAAAGCTACTGTCGAGTGCGCCAGTGAGTGCCAAGTCAATCAACGGCCGCTTACTTCCCACCTTGAAAGGCAACGATTTTCGCCCTTCAGGGTTCGTGAAACCGGGGCGGAAGGCCCAGTGCAAACTTTCTGAGGAAACACTTTACATGGCAGAACGCTGCATGTGGCCAACACTCTGCGATAGTGTTGCGTTGTGCCATGACTTTGTTACTGAATGTGGTATCGGTATGGTGGTCAGCGTGAACAGCTTGCATTACACATTGCCTGAGGAGCGCAAGCACCTCGGACGCACATACTTTTTCCGAGGTCAGACTGGAAGCGCGTGTTTTTTTGCATCAGGTATGCTGCGCTTGACAAGAAGGACATCCCAAAGACAGAGTGCCTTAAGGACACGATTGCATCTCGGCATTTCCGCGAACATTTTAATAGCGAGCGAAGGCCCGAACGCAGGAACGAGCAAAAGCCATGATGAAGGTCCTTCAGTTGTGGATCCCTTAACTTAGCTTTTGGAATTACAGCAAAGTTTGCAGATTGCTATTGCCTGCTGTCATTTTGAGGTAGGCAGACCTTCAACGGGCTTCGGCCCATTCAGACGGTTCAGCTATGCGACACCAATTCCTGGCTGCTGAGGCACGGGTGATGCCGTTCTGGGAGGAAGCGATTGTCCCAGAGTTGAAGAGCGGCAAGACGGTCTTTGTGGCGGCCCACGGCAATTCCATCCGAGCAATCCTCAAATTTCTGGAAGGCATCTCTGACAACGACATTACAGGCAGGGCATGCTGGGCGCTGGCCGCGTGCCCTCGTGGAAAGACGCATGTTGCCGCCCTCAGTGTGATAGCAGATAGCAAAACTATTTAAGTGAAGCAGTCGCTACACAACATGTTCACCCATTGAAGCTTCGATGCCAATGCAGGCCTGGAGATTCCCACCGGGCGGCCGCTCATGTACAAGCTGGATGCGGACACTTCTGACGCACCATGTTCTGCATGTAGGTGTGGCTCAATTTAAAATCAGCAGGGGTTACGCATTTGTTAGTCTTTAGTTCCATTTCCCAAGGTGCAATTGTGGTACATGTTTTTGACCCAATCAAAACCCGGGTAGATGAAGGCCACTAAGAAAAAGTCCCAGGCACTTGTGGGTGAAACCCGGGTAGAAGGGCCTTGGAGCCACATTGTGTCCGGTTGGTCCTTGAAGCTTTGAGCGCAGGACCTGAAGCCCATCAAGAGCCCGGATGCCATTGCACCCCTGAGCTTCGGGAAGTACATGGGAGCCATAGCTGCAAGTTGGATTGGGTTTGGCTTGCCTCATGCCCTGGAATGTTGGCTGGGGCTTCAAAATGGCTATGAGTTTGAATGGGGAACCGGGGTCCTTCCCAAAATCATTGGACTTCATCCCACATGATGCAAATTGGCACCCAAAGGAGGCTGTTCAGCAGAGAACTCGGCCCAGGAAATCTCGAGGAGATCAAGGCGGCAGCAGAGGCTGTGAAGAACCAGACGAAGGTTGCAGCGCCCGCCGGAGGCAGCTGAGCGGATATTGGTTTACAGCCGGGTTAGGCATAAGGTTCCGAAGACCCAGGCAAGGGGGCAGATATGGCTAGACATGGACAGATACGTGGCCAGGTGGCCAGGCGCCAAAGGGGGGGGGAGGAACAGGGGAACAAAGGGAACGCTGCATGCATTATTTGGTGTAGGTCAGCTTTCACTGGCACGTGCCCCTTGATGGATGGACAGGAACGGGCCAATGAATTTGGGGAACATATCTTTCCCAGCAGCTTGATAAATTTGGTCACTTCCCACAGGTACTATCTCAGGCAGTGACCTAAGGCTTAGCAAGAAGAGCTAGTGACAATGGCATTTCAGCATAAATTTCGATGAGGGCTATCATATTCCTGAAGTTTCATGGACATGTTTCTTGTGTTGATCCAAATCTGGGTCACCCGCTTTTTCCCAGGAGTAAAACACTGGCTGGGGAGAAGAGCTCATGAAGAAAAAGGAACGGGCATAGGTGTCCTTGTTAGGTTAGTTGGAAAATAGATGGCACTGGTTTCCCTTGGGTTCTTTTATGAAAAGGAATCATCCTAGGTGTCCTTTTAGGTATTTTTTGTTTCGAAAATAGCTGGCCCTGGCAAATGTACAACAGCGCCAAAGCGCTCGGCCGTCCGAGTCAGGCGCCAAGATCATGGCCATCAAGGCCCGTGAGATCTTCGACTCCCGGGGCAACCCCACGGTGGAGGTGGACCTTTGCACCGACACGGCGCCTCGGAGTTCCGAGCTCGGGAAGCTCGGTTCCTTTCAGCCGTTCCCGATGGGCCCATTGGCTGGAGACATGCAATTTGGACTGGGACAAGGGGTGGCTTATGGGAAACATCGGGAAACTGACAGTTTGGTCCCAAAATACGTTTGATGGATCGTAGCTATGTGAGCCAGTGGTGTGGTGCTTGGTTCCCAGGGGTCCAGGTATTTTCTGAGTTGAGCACTGACCAGCTTTTGGACCATGGGTCACGGGGGGTGTTAACATAGTTGGATCAAGGCAGCGGGTTGCTGGGCGCACTTGAAAAAACTGGCAGTTGCAAACATTGAGGGCGACCCAACCTTTTGGGTGGGTGAGGGGTGCCCAATGCGGTGCCCGTGTGCGCACTCAATGTGGTGCTCTTGGGGGATGCGCTGCTGCAGGCCTGAGGATAGCGCAGGGAAAAAGACATGGGAAGTCTTGAGGGGCCCTAGTTCAGAGTCAGAACCCACATGTGGGAAAAAGAACCCTACCGCGGAAGCGGATTTAGCACCGCCCTCATGTTTAAATGTTCAGTACCCCCATGAGTCAGTCGCCAGTTTCGCCCTGGTGAATGCTCCGAATACTGGGATGGAGGGATGAATCCCGATCTGAATACTGGGATTGATGGATAAATGGATAAATGGATGAATGGATGATGTCTGAAACCCTATGAATTTAATACTGGGGTAAATGGAAAGATAGCTGGATCGATGAATGGGATGGATGGAACCGGACGGATGGATGCTCCGACTCTTCCGCTGAAATTACACGAGACGCCGGAAGGCCCTCTTCCGTGCCGCGGTGCCCTCGGGGGCATCCACGGGCATCTACGAGGCCCTGGAGCTCCGCGACGGCGACAAGAACCGGCTACTGGGCAAAGGCCGGCGATTTTCGCCGTCGGCGGGCGGCGGTCGGTTTGCCTCTGTCACGGGGGCTGGGGAGGGAGGGGAGGAGGGGGGGAGGGAGCCCACAAAAGGGCTCAATAAGGGCTCCCCCCCCCGTCCCTCCCCCCCAGCCCCCATGACTTTGGGGCGCTCCTTGGATTTGTTTGGGATCCAAAGCCAGAAGCTTGGGCTGGGTCCTTGCTTCAAAACTGGCTTGACTTGGCTGAGGTTGGCATGTTACTTCATAGGCTCGGTTTCTTTGTGGCGTCAAAAGCTGTGATTGTGGATTGGATTCTTTGTTTGGAACAGGCCGGGTGTGGTAAGGGTTTGCCTATCCAATGTGATTGTTCCATGCGCGGCATGTGCTGCTTGTGCAAGCTTGTGCACATGCACTTTGCGCACTTGTTTCCGCATGTACTTTGTGCGTGTGCAGTCCTGACAACCTTTGCGCCTTGTGGGAGCCACTAGACGTCGACATGGGTTAATTACTTGAACATCGCCGCTAAAACTCCTAAAGGGTCAGGAGCAAAGTTGTGGCAACTGAGCATGCCTTTGTATCAGTCGAAGGCAGTGACCGATTGGGTCCCTCCGCTCCTGAGAGGGATGTGGCGCAGGTGTGCTGAAAGCAGTGGCCAACGTGAACGACATCCTTGCACCAAAGCTCATTGGCATGGACGTGACAGACCAATCAAAGATTGACAAGCTGATGGTGGAAGAGAGCCTTTGGAGGGCATTTAGTTTGTGCACAATCTTGGACCTCTGCGGCCTTGGCAGCTCCTTGTTTGTCATGTTACGCGACTTCATCCGATCCTGGGTCCTAAGCCCTCAGTTGGTCACGCAAACAACTTGTTTGGCCGGGTCACTCAACCAACCAACCAACCAACCAACCACCCAACCCACCCACCCACCCACCCACCCAGCCACCCAGCCACCCACCCAGTCCCAGGATCGATGGCTCCAAGAACGAGTGGGGCTGGAGCAAGTCCAAAGTCGGGGCGAACGCCATCCTGGCGGTCTCCATGGCCGTGTGCCGAGCGGGAGCGGCCGCCAGCGGCATGCCGCTCTATATGTACATCGCCACTTGACCTCAGCAAGCGGCAATTCTCTTAGCTTGACTGCTATTGGGTCAGATCTTTAGACTTTAACTTTTGGCGAATTTCAAGGAGTTTTCCACAACCCACAAAAAGTTAAACATTTTGCAATGGGGTCAACAGCAACCAAGTCAAGCACCCCTCAAGAATGGCTGACATCAATCCCCTATGTAGTGTGTCATCATGTCCGGCAAGGGGCCCCGAATCAAGATTCACCCAACAACGGACCTTTGAAACCTCCTTACCACCATTCGGGTGCTGCCTGTTCTGAGAGAAAGGCCAAGATCTCTGGGAAGCCGGTGGACAAGTTCGTGATGCCGGTGCCCTCATTCAACGTCATCAACGGCGGCAGTCACGCGGGCAACCGCCTGGCCTGCCAGGCAGGAATTGCCTGTCCGATTTGTTTGACCCGCACTCCCACACTTTTCGTGGCACAAGAGAGGTTCGGGAGTCCCTACAGGAGGAAAATGATCTTCCAGGTACCCTCCCATAGTTGCTACATTAGTGGAGGGGGAGGGTATCTTGTGTGATATTCCTTTTATTTCCCCCCATACAAAAATGAATGGAAGTGGGGGAGTGGGGGGTTTGCGGGGGGCCCAACCCCCCCCCTGGCCGGGAGGAGTTCATGATCCTACCGGTGGGCGCGGCCAACTTCAAGGAGGCCATGATCATCGGGGCGGAGGTGTACCACAACCTGAAGAGCGTCATCAAGAAGAAGTACGGCCAGGATGCGCCCTGATCCTCTGGTTGCTGTTGCTGGGCTGTTGCTTTGTGTTGCTCTTGGGCTGGGCGCCCTGATCCCACCTTTTTCCAGAGGCAAGGTGTTTTCTGTTTTGTTTTCCTGAGCATAAATTGCCAGATGAAGACAAGTTTGAGTCATGTCCCGAGATGAAGACAAGTTTGAGTCATGTCCCGAGAACTAAACGGGTTCTGATCGCTTGCACCAAAGGACGATCATGTGCGTATCCGAGAACCCGTTGTACCCATACGCGTCTCTGTGACGTTTACAACCACTTTCAATCCAGGGTGCATCCCCAAGTACTATAAGGACTTCCCTTTTCCATCTTCGAATTGTTCCTCAGAAAATTCCAGGGGTCCCCCATTTCTATGAAGGGGGTGGGACTTGCCGGGAGCTCGCTTCCGCTCAAACGGCGCAACTCCAGGGTGGTTCAGTCACCGAAGCCGTTTAGGGTCCAATTAGGATATCCTAGGTTTCTCCCGTCCAGGGGCAAAGCCTCTGGTGCAGTTTGGCTGTTGAGGCTGCAACGTGAAGCTTTGCATTTTTTCCAGCCGAGGCGTGCAACGTGGGCGACGAGGGAGGCTTTGCTCCGAATGTGCAGGACAACAACGAGGCAGGCGCATGCAGGATGGATGAACAGAGGCGTTTGCTCGTTACGTCCGTCCACCTAGGAGGCTAGGCGTCTCGCCTTTTTGGTGGGATATCTTTGGATCTCGTCGGGGGCTGGCCGTTGCAATTGGCGTGGCCCTCGGCTTGTGTTTTTCCCAGATAGATGAAAGCTATAGGGGTTCTAACGTCTAATAAAGAGGGGAACGCCATTTGCGAGATTGACGACTGGGCGCTAGGGGGCATGCAGTTTGGGGTGCCAGTGCAGGTGCTGTTTCGGGGCGCTGGCGCCAGTGCTGTTGGAGGTGCTGGTGACGGTGTGGGTGTGTGTGTGGGCGCATTTTTGCGAGATTCACGGCTGGGTGCTAGGGGTCGTGCTGGCGCAGGTGCTGTTTTGGTGCGCTGGCGCAGGTGCTGTTGGAGGTGACGGTGCGGGCGCATTTTTGCAAGATTGCCGGCCGGGTGCTCGGGGGCATGCAGTTTGGAATGCTGGTGCAGGTGCTGGGCGCATTTTTTGCAAGATTGACGGCTGGGTGCTTGGGGGCATGCAGTTTGTGGGGAGCCAGTCGGTGCTGTTTTGGGACCCTAGCATGGGTGCTGTTGGTAGGCTGTTGGATGTTCTGTGATGTTTTACGCTATTTGGGGTCTATGCCGGTGTAGTTCATAGGTGAGCGCCAACTTGGAAACGGTCACTAGCAGCCCACAGGCGAAGGTACACATGGGCATTTGCACAGTCTCATCACATAGGTTGTGCAAGGCATGTTAGATACTGACTTCTTCGTTTGCGCCGGAAGGAAGAACACATTCTGCAAAGCGTGAAAAGGGGGGACATCCAAGCGCGCACGCACACAAATAGTTGTTCATCCCTGTGTCCGCCTTGTCTATTGTTTTCCACATCCTCGTTCGAGGTCAATCTTTGGTCCGTAGAGCACGCTTTGTTTTATGAAGCGTTTTTTTTTTTTTGGCTTTTGAGTTTTGGATGTCTTACTTGACTTGTTCCACTGCAAAATCCAAGATTCCCCGCTTCCTAATTGGTTTGGCCCACTCCCCTGAGAAACCTAAGGCCATTCTTGGATCTGATCCAGTCCCCCCAAAGCACAGGCAGCATTCACAGAGGCCCTTTGTTTGCAAAATCTGCAATGCAAACCTGCCAGCCCAAGCGATGCGACAGGCCTTGGATGTGCTCATGGAAGCCATTTCCAAGTCTGGGCACAGCGACAAGGCTGGAACCTGGGGCAGCCGAGCAATGCCCTACGTGGAGCATGCCTGATTCCTTTTGGAAGGGTATGAAAGGCAGCTTTGTCGATGATTCCTGAAAGGCCGTTGTGACCCGTGATGTTTTGGCAGAAATCCCAAACCCACTCCAAGATGCGTCATGGTAGTAAAGTCTTTGGGTTTACCGTGCAAGCTGTGTGCATGTGTGCCATGTGTGTAGTGTAGCCTTTCGGCCAAGAACGACCTTCCCACAGCCTGTGGACTGTGGACCCTTTGTGCCCCCAGAAATCCCCCAACAGCTGAACAGCAGGTGCTGCGATGTTGGACTGACCCACCAATGAACATCCTGATCAAAGCATTTGTCATTTTCTTGACTCAGGACTGGCAAACCAGTAGGGGGCGGGGGGAATCCCTGTGGAAGTTTTCCCCAACTCGTGGCCAGCCCTCACGTCAGTTCCGTGAGGTGAAGATCGGAACCGACGTGGCCGCCTCGGAGTTTTACAAGCCGGAGGAGAAGCTCTGCCCAAAGCCAAGCTTTGGACCTTTTGGTTTTCCTGTTTTGGTTCATATTTTGTGGCCACAAAAGGTGATCAGCTTTTGGTCCTTTTGGCCCTTTGGGCAACCGAGGAAGACCTACGACTTGGACTTCAAGAACGCCAGCAGCCCTGCGGAAACTCGGACGGCGTTTGGGTTCTATTCCAGTCACGCCTTGGTCGAAGACCATGGTGGTGTTGGTGGTTTGTTGGACATGGCATGCACTGGCAGTAGTGGCGGCGAGCAGGCCAGGGAATACACCCTATGTATTGTTTGCACAGGGTCGACTGGAATGATGTATAAACACAAAAGAAAGGCTGTAGGAACCAGGCATTTAGTAAACAGAAGGGTAGCTGTGGGCCCTGGGTTTTTGCACCCAAACTGTTTGTCATGAATTCATGCGATTTGCCTACTTGGAAGCCTCAAACCGGAAAAAAAGACTCGATAAATCGGGAAAAACGACAACAAACAAACAAAGTTCTGGGAGAGATGCTTGGTTCTACCCACTTAGAAACCTCAAACCAAAAAAATAAAAACATAACATAATAATGAATAACTTTGAGAAATCGGAAAAAAGCCAAAGTTATAGGAGAGATGACAGGGTATACCAGTAACGTCTTCTGTAAACATGTGTTTTTGGGTTTTTTGTTTTTCCCCCGATTTCTCGAGTTGTTTTTCGGTTTTCTACACATCCCTGACTGCCGGCACAAAAAAGCAAAGTTCTAGGAGAGATGACAGGGTATACCAGAATGTCCTCTGCCAAAAAGTTTTTCCGATTTCTCGAGGTTGCGTTTGGTTTTCTTTACATCATGGTAATCCTCATGTACATAAAATGTTAATTACTAGATCTACAAAAGGTCTAGAGTTGAGCAATAACATTTGTTGGTCTAACTGCCTTATCTGTAGACATAAGAACAAATGATTCTCAACACTAGCTTCAATAGTCAAATCGATTAATAGTTTTAGTTTCCAGATTATTATTGCTTATGATTTTCGATATATGTTCCTCAACTAAAGGCACATGTTTGTAAGCTGCTGCATGAAACACTACATCTGGAAAGTACTCGCCAAAAAAATGGTGTCATGATTCTAAATCACAAACAGAACATAAACTACTGTTTATATTATAAAGAGCATTTTTCAGACATTGTGTACAAACTAAATTCACTATGATCGAGTAAAATTATCTGGCTAGCTTCATACTTAATTCATCCCCGAGCAACTTCAGAGCCAATACTCCCCCCCCCCGCCCCTGTAATAAGGACTCTTTTCTCCTTAATAAAGTATGGGCATAGATTCTTTGTTAAGAGTTTTCGAGTCGCTAGAGAGTAAATCATAAAGTGAAACCGGCTTAAGCTGTGACATAAAACTTGCATCTTAAAGAACATCTTCTGGAGGTGGCATGATCTTTATTCGTTTAAAATATTTGTCCAAATAGTTGTACATTTTTGTTATAGTTGAGTTGGCTGATTTTGGAAATGCTATACTTAAAAGATCAAATTTTCAAGATAATATGTTTTTGAAACGTATTTTTTGAGAAAAAAACAAACAAACTATGTTTATCATGTATGTTTCTTTCTTGTAAAGATATATCGTCGTCAACAAAATTATTATCATATACCCGTTTGCATCAAGTTTCTGAGCTATCTTTGTCGTCCCAGCAAGACCTGCACCATGATGATTTGCAATAATACAAAAGAATATGTGAAAAGCTTTGTTTCAACGCTAGGATATATAGTTCGTGACCAAAGACATTTTGAAAACATATACTGTCTACAGCACCTTGTGTTTCTTCTTGAGCAAAAGCATAGTTGCTTCTTTCTTATTAATTAGGTTTAATTTAAGGTGTTCGAAAAATTGATACAATTTTCCTATAGATATATCGATATCACTTGGGGAGAATCTTTGTTGATCACATCTTTGCAAAGAAAGCCAAGTATATGAGAATGGTTTGATTAATTCCAATATATCGTTATGAGTCATTTTCTTTTGGGCGGTATTATTTAAATTGAGATATAACTTCAATCAAACGATTAGGGTCAGTTTCAACTTTTGATTGACACATGGCATAACCTTGTGTTATACATTGCTTTAATGTGTGTGTGTGTGTGTGTGTGTGTTGCCCATTTTCTGAGCTTTATATCTAAAATTGAATTAATCCTAGACCCTACAGATATGATCACATCGAGGCTACACTCTTTCACATGTTTGGAGTTGTTGAGGTACTGAGTCAGTTGGTTTGCCTTGAAGTAGCCTGTTTGCACGTCTGCAAAAACAACCATTTCATATGGAAAACACCAGGGCCCACAGCGTACCCGTCTCTTAGTAAATGAGCAGAGGTTCACTTCTTCGAACTAGGTAGACGCGGCACAATTGTGTGTTGCCGCCGAGTCGTTGGTTCACACCTGCCCAAGAAATGAAAGGACGAAGCTGTGTCAGTTGGGGTTTTGGAGCATATCACAGGCCGCAATCTCAAGCAAGGAAATGAAGAAGTCGGCAAAGGAGCTGGCAGAGTACTACAAGTCATGGCTCGACAAGTATCCTTTCGTCTCCATCGAGGACTTGTTTCTTGGATTGGGGAAGGGTAGGCAACTGCAAGCCTGCAGGGTTTCACGCTGGCACTTCCTGTGCTCGATTGAATGAATACAGTGAGTTCCTCGTGTTTGAGAAGGAAGTTGCAGTGGAATGCCCTGAAATCAAGACCGGTTCCCCCGAGGTCATGCTTCAGACTGCATTTAGATTGCGAAGGGTTGGATGTACTCTTGAACTCCGTGCGTGTTGGTGGTGTCAGCCATGGACCGGCTCAAATCGCCAGGATCCCTTTGACCAGGACGACTGGGACGCCTACAAGCACTTCATGGGCGAGGCAATGAGTACCAGTGCTGTCGAGCAAACACCTGGTGAGTTCTTCTTTCGGGAAAAACAAAACCAGTGGTTCGTAACGATTATTCCCCGACTCCCTACTGAGAGCCAGGTCTTGCGGAGCCTACCGAGCCTTTCAGTCCAGGTCGGGCAGCGTGTCCAGATTGTGGGCGATGACCTCCTGGTCACCAACCCCACTCGTGTCAAGAAGGCGGGTCATCAGCAGCGAGTGGGCTGTTGACGCCTAAGGCTGGCCCTATGACAAGCTACATGCAGGTCAAGAAAGTTGTATCATGTTGGCAGGTCGCAGCCACGCAGCTTCTCATGTTTTCAAATGTTGGTCCCTGCGCACGAAGAGGCGCCAAGTCTTTAGTAACAGCTCCCCCCGCAATGGATTCTTTATAGCCAGTTTGCTGAGAAGGAGACGGGTCTGCAAGGGCATCGGCCGAGGCTCTTGAAGTTGGCGCGTGTAACGCGCTGCTTCTCAAGGCGCGGTTGAAGTTGAGATGCCTGCGAACAAAACGCACCTGATTGCTTTTGACAAATGAGTTCTTGATCAAGAGTCTTAGTTGGCAGCCGACTTGCCTCAGTGACGTCTCTTTGTCCTTGGTTTCTGCGGAAGAAAGGCCGTGAATGGCCCATCATCCAATGCTACAGCATCAGGCAGTCAAAACCCAGAAAGGTGGTCCCACTACAAAGAACAACAACAACAACAACAACAACAACAACAACAACAACAACAACAACAACAACAACAACAACAACAACAACAACAACAACAACAACAACAACAACAACAACAACAACAACAACAACAACAACAACAACAACAACAACACCAACAGCAGCAGCAGCAGCAGCAGCAGCAGCAGCAGCAGCAGCAGCAGCAGCAGCAACAACAACAACAACAACAGCAACAACAACAACAACAACAACAACAACAACAACAAACAGCATGTGACAACTCTACACGTCCCAACAAAAACTGCCCTCCAAGAGAACGGTTGAGTCATTGTCACCTTTCTTCATACTTCCCAAACTTGAGCATGTTGGATCCAAGATTGAGGCTTCTGAGGACTCGTGGCTGAAGCTTCAACTGCATGGACAGAAACATGTATGGGTCTGGGCGAAGGGTGGAACTGACTCAGCGGCGCCGCATATATTGGCCGCTTACCAACAAGAAATTGGTCGGATGGTATCAGACGCAGATGGTTGCCCCGTTGCCCCCTCCAACATTGCAAGACATTTTGGAGAGCCTGCTTTTGCAGCGGACAGCATGTCCGAGTTCTCACGAGTGTTCACTCATGTTTGTTCTTGACAATGGGCACCTCTTCACAGGTGTAAAGGATGCTTTCCATACTCAGTGTATGTCCCTCAGGGCCATCTAGAGCCCTAAACCGCTCTGAAGGCGGTTGAAGCGTTTTGGGATTGAAGGTTGAAGCTTCTCCGGACACTTTCTTTTGTTTCAGTGATCCGTGATTCCGTTAGCCCTGTAGTCCCGTATCTGGGTACCGCTGCAAGTTCAATGAGCGAAACACCGTGAGCACCAACTTTGCCAGGTGAATCAGATTGGCTCTATCACAGAGGCCATCGAGGCAAGGGCGCTGGACGGATACCTGATTGTCACCAAGCAACACTTGATTCATGCATAGGTGTCCTTCTTGGTTGGTTTGCTTAAAAATGGAGGGCCCTGGTTTAGATGGGGTTCATTCCATTTACCAGGGCCATCTATTTTTCCCAAAGCCCACCTATGGATTCATGGCCAAGCCTGGGAAGACTGCAATATTGCGCATGCCATTCCACGAGTTGTTGTTCGAGCTGATTGGCCCAGGCAGCCACTATGTCGCAGAATGCTGGGTGGGGTGTCATGGTCTCCCACCGATCAGGTGAGACTGAGGACTCAGGGCTTGCTCCAAGCGAATCGACCGGATCTGACCTTTTGGCTTTACCATTTTGGTCCATAGAGAGTCATGGCCCCAAAAGGTGATCACCTTTTAGCTCCAGGTCCTTTGGGCAACTGAGGTTTTTGGATGTGCGCAGATCAGCACGCCCTCTTACGGCTGCATGCTGCGGGCGGTTGATCTCACTTCCTGAGTTCATGAACTTTAATCTTTTTGGGAAGACAATTTTAGCGGTATATATATATATATAACTTTGTTGGGCCATCCACTCAGCCAGTGAGTGACGCGAGGATTCCTTCATCGCGGATTTGGTGGTAGGTCTGCGGCCCAGTCAACGTGCAATGCCTGACTCATAGCCCATGGCACCTAAAAGCAGGGCGTGTGGTGTGAGATGATGAATGCGCGCTCGGACAAAGAAGCCTAGCGATCTTGAATCAAGACGGCATTTGTGTAACAGACGATTGAGGTTAAGCCAACACGTGACCAACTGCCAGATGCCGTGAATCAGTCCCGCTGCAAGGTCTCAGGACGGGACAAATCAAGACAGGAGCACCATGCCGCTCGGAACGCCTGTCCAAGTGACCTGGGTTAGGCTTGGAGTCCGGCTGGTGCCAAGACTCCTTCCAAGCAGTCTATCAATTCTTCACATCCAGGTATTTCAATATGTGCATGGCGATGTGTCTATAATCATATAGCATACATATGAGCCACGGACAAAACACACGAAGACCACTTTATCAAGGCGGGGTACGTTTTTGCATAACACATGCCAAAACCATGCAAAACGATAAGGTCTCCCCCAAAAACGAAAACCCTTAGCTCTATAATAACCCCTGCAGTTGCAACTTAGCTAGGGTGGGACCCTTGCGTGGCCACCGTAAAACAAGAAGGCGAGTCGCCACTTTCGAGCTGGAGCTGCCAAGGTGTGCTTCGTAAATACGACACTTGTGCTGAGAAGTTGCGATTTTCGAGCTGGAGCTGCGGAAGTGTACTTCTCGTACTAGACTTGTACTGCAAAGTTGCGATTTTCGAGCTGGAGCGCTGTGGAAGTGTACTTCCCGTACTAGACTTGTACTACAAAGTTGCGACTTTCGATCTGGAGCTGCGGAAGTGTACTTCCCGTACTAGACTTGTGCTACAAAGTTGCGATTTTCGAGCTGGAGCTGCGGAAGTGTACTTCCCGTACTAGACTTGTGCTACAAAGGTGCGATTTTCGAGCTGGAGCTGCGGAAGTGTACTTCCCGTACTAGACTTGTGCTACAAAGTTGCGATTTTCGAGCTGGAGCGACTTGTGCTACAAAGTTTCCATTTTCGAGCTGGAGCGCTGTGGAAGTGTACTTCCCGTACTAGACTTGTACTACAAATCTGATTTTCGAGCTGGAGCTGCGGAAGATTACTTCGCGTACTGGACTTGTACTACAAAGTTGCGACTTTCGAGCTGGAGCTGCGGAAGTCTACTTCGTGTGCTAGACTTGTGCTACAAAGTTGCGACTTTCGAGCTGGAGCTGCGGAAGTGTACTTTGCGTACTAGACTTGTACTACGAAGTTGCGATTTTCGAGCTGGAGCTGCGGAATTGTACTTTGCGTACTAGACTTGTACTACGAAATTGCGATTTTTAAGCTGGAGATGCGGAAGTGTACTTCGCGTACTAGACTTGTACTACCAAGTTTCCATTTTCGAGCTGGAGCTACTTCGCTTACTAGACTTGTACTACAAAGTTGCGATTTTCGAGCTGGAGCTGAGGAAGTGTACTTCGTGTACTAGACTTGTACTACAAAGTTGCGATTTTCGAGCTGGAGCTACTTCGCTTACTAGACTTGTACTACAGAGTTGCGATTTTCGAGCTGGAGCTGAGGAAGTGTACTTCGCGTACTAGACTTGTACTACAAAGTTGCGATTTTCGAGCGGAAGATGCGGAAGTGTACTTCGCTTACTAGACTTGTACTACAAAGTTGCAATTTTCGAGCTGGAGATGCGGAAGTGCACTTCGCTTACTAGACTTGTACTACAAAGTTGCGATTTTCGAGCTGAAGATGCGGAAGTGTACTTCGCGTACTAGGATTGCACTACAAAGTTGCGATTTTCGAGCTGGAGCTGCGGCAGTGTACTTCGCGAAAGTGTACTTCGCGTACTAGACTTGTACTACAAAGTTGCGATTTTCGAGCTGGAGCTGTGGAAGTGTACTTCCTGTACTAGACTTGTACTACAAAGTTGCGATTTTCGAGCTGGAGCTGCGGAAGTTTACTTCGCGTACTAGACTTGTACTACAAAGTTGCGACTTTCGATCTGGAGCTGCGGAAGTAAGTGTACTTCCCGTACTAGACTTGTACTACAAAGTTCCGATTTTCTTGCTGGAGCTGCGGAAGTGTACTTCGCTTACTAGACTTGTACTACAAAGTTGCGATTTTCGAGCTGGAGCTGCGGAAGTGTACTTCGCGTACTAGACTTGTACTACAAAGTTGCGATTTTCGAGCTGGAGCTGCGGAAGTGTACTTCCCGTACTAGACTTGTACTACAAAGTTGCGATTTTCGAGCTGGAGCTGCGGAAGTGTACTTCCCGTACTAAACTTGTGCTACAAAGTTGCGATTTTCGAGCTGGAGCTGCGGAAGTGTACTTCGCGTACTAGACTTGTACTACAAAGTTTCCATTTTCGAGCTGGAGCGCTGTGGAAGTGTACTTCCCGTACTAGACTTGTACTACAAAGTTCCGATTTTCGAGCCGGATCTGCCAAAGTTCGAAAACACTGTAAAACGATAAGGTCTCCCCCAAAAACGATAACGTTCAAAAAAGTACTAGGGCCAAGTAAAGTGTTTCGTCCGCTCCTCATATATAGCTATAGAGTTCATATTGGTTGTCCCCTGCATGTGCCCAATGCTGAACCATGCACCGAAGCCGGAGGTACAATCAGCTGCTTCGTATCGAGGAGGAACTGGGGCCGTTGGCTTCCTATGTGCGGACCAAAGTTTACAGGGTGGAATTGCTTCATCCCCACCCCCTTAAACATGTCGTTGGGGGACGGGGGTTTGGCCCCAGCAATTCCATTTGTGGTGCCATGTTCCCTTTTTTGAGGACTAGAAAAATGGAATTGGGGGACCCCCCCACCCCCCTCCCCTCTTAAGGTAGAGACGATATTGCTTCAATCGCTTGCTTAGGCTGGAGTCAACTTCAGAAGTCCAAAGTGAAGCTGGGGGGGCGGCGTTTTGCGGGCTGGCTTCTTCTCACATCTAGCTCTGCAAAAGCAGACAACTCTGCAACAATATTGCGTGCAAAGGATTATGTCCTTGTAGTGCAAGTTGTAGCTGTGTCAGTCAAGTTTGTGCCACATATTTCTTTATATTTGTCTCTTTCTCTTTCTCTGTATCTTTCTTTTGGTTCTCCCTGTTTCTGTCGTCGTTTGTTTCTCTCCTCGTATTGTTTCAATGTCTTTCTCTAATTAAATAGTTGTTGTTGTTCCTTCTCGCCCTCCAATCAAACGACACCGAATCATTTGTTTTTTGGAGCTGAAAACCAACAAAATGAATTCTTGTACCTCCCAGCCATAGAGCCGGCGGTTGGCAGAAGTTTCAAGAAGTATAGTCATCTTTCTCTGTCTCTTCTTGTCTCTCCATTTTCTTTCTCTCTCTTCTTCATTTTGTTTATTGTGTTCTTTTATTTCCGCTTGTGTTTATGTTTCCTTTCTCCTTTTCCTGCCTTCTTTTTCTCTTGCGCAAGACATGCTGGTTTTTGGCCTGCCCTTTTACTCTCTCGAGTAGCACGGGTGGCGCAGAGCACCTCCAAAGCAAGACCAGGACAAAAAGTGATGCAACAAACGCATGGCGGCCTGAAATGGCACGCGCGTAGGCACGATGCAGCAACACAGTGCCACAGTCTTCTTCGCACCTCCAAAAAGCTGCGAGTAACAAACATAGAGAAAAAGACGAAAGAAAGAGAAAAGATAAAAAAAAAAAAAAAAAAAAAAAAAAAGATAAAAAAAAAAAAAGAAACAAATAATGAACAAAAAGATAAGTAAGGGAATTCTATAGAATTCCCTTTTCTTTCTCTCTTTTTCTTTTTCTCTCTCTCTCCCCCTTTTTTTCTTTTTCTCGTTGTTTTTCTCTACTCTTCATAAAAGAATCGTGCCGGATGTTAATGCTGGATATATATCGATATACATATATATATATATATAAATTCAAAATCGATGAATTGTTTTTAATATTTTATAAAGGATATATTTATAGATTAATTTAAAATAAATGATATGATTAATGATTTTATAGTATATATAGAATTTTACAATTGGAAGTAATGGATTGTTTTTTGTAATATTATTTGTTGGAAATAATAATATAGGAAATATTTATAACATTAGTCGAAACAATAAACCCGTTGTATGTATTAATGTTAGTTATAATTTTAGGTTTTTTGGACTTGTTGTACTGCCGTTTGTAATTTGAATGGTAGGAGTATGTTATAGGTGGCTGCTGTTGCTGCTGCTGCTGCTGCTGGGTATTGGTTGTTGCTGGGTATTGGTTGCTGCTGGCTACTGCTGCTGGCTGCTGCGGTTGCTGCCGGCTGCTGCTGGCTACTACTGCTGCTGCTACTGGCTATAATTTATTGCTAGGGATTTACAAAAACAAAAACAATACAAAATACAAAAATAAACTATTCCTAGTCCAAAATATCTATGACTTATGCACGACTTACACGAAAATTTAACAATCTTCCGGATTTTTTCGACTATACGGATGATAATAATAATAAATTATCACGGCGTCACCGACGCTTTACTTGCGCGACCCCATGTTTAACTTACGTGACTAATAACAATCAATAACCAATAATCAACTAATAACCAACCACAACAACAATAACCACCAACAACCACCAACAACCACTAACAACCACCAACAACAACCAACAAACTCCTAACAATAGCCAGTAGCAGCAGCAGCCAGCAGTAACAACCAGCAATAGTCGGCCGCAGCAGCAGCAGCCGCAACAGCAGCAGTCAGCAGCAGCCGCAGCAGCAGTCAGCAGCAGCCAGCAGCAGCAGCAGCAGCAGCCAGCAGCAGCAGCCAGCAACAATTTGTAGCGGTGTATACAACTGAGACCTCATACATTCAAGGGGCATGTTTTTGGGGGACCTCAATCTTATGAAGATCGCCGCTTGGATTTGCAATGAAAACATCCTGGGATAAGAATTTTAATACGTTTTTTTTTTAAGCTCATATAATGAATATAAACATATTTATAATGATTTGAGGAATTAATATATGATTTTAAAATATTGGTTACGAATTTTTGATTTGGGAAAATATTGATGGATTGGATATCGAGAAAAAAATGTGTTTTTGATATTTTGCTCGTATGATGGATGAAAAATATGATTTGTATATATAAAATTATATGGACCTAATATAAAAATATAGAATAATCATTATTTTATATACGAAATATATTGGGAGGCGGTGTTTGGCCATATATATAGATGATTTTGGAGGTGTGTTTTATATAAGATGGATTGATTATTTTGTTTTTATTTATTTGTTATTTTTATAATTGTTTTGATTGTTTTTATATATAACAAATGATTGTTTTATTTAGTTTGTTTTTCGTAGAGTTGTTATTCTTTGAATTATGGGGAAATTAAGAATTTGTTTTTGTGGTTGGTTTGGATCTCGTTTTTGGAACGGATGATGCACCTAAAATGAGATTGGGTTATGGGGGGGGGGGGAGATTCTATTCTCGATTTCATTTTAATATTGGTATTCTCGAATATCTCGATATAGAAAATTTAACGATTTTTTAGACGAAATGAAATAAATAAATACTAGATGATTTATTAGAAATTGAATTATAAATTATAGATAAATATATAGATAAGAAAAGATTAATATAATAGAATCATGAACTATATATAATTTAAGAAATATTTAATTAAATAAATTAAATTTAAGAAATATTTAGATAATATATTCTTTTAAATATATAGATGAGTAAATAAAATGATGATTGGATAACAGAATATAAATGAATATATATATATAATAATAAAAATTATAATTAATTTAATAGAAGTAATTTATGAAATTAAAAAAATATATATTTAAATTGGTAAAACATATATAATATTAATAGTTACTTATATAATCTAAAATATTAAATATATATTAGAATTACCATAAATGAATTATTATATTAATATTAATATATATTTCGGATTTAAATATATATATATATTATATTTGATATTATATATTTAATATATGATATATTTAAAAAATGAAATTTATATAATTAAAACTAAATTAAGTGAAACAATCGTAAAAGATATCGTCATGCATCAGAAATGATCGAAATAATTATCGAGAGCAATAGACAAAATTAAGGCAACCAATTCATCATCCTTGGAGCACATCTCCAAAATCCTCTATATATATGGCCAAATACCGACTCCCGATGTCTTTTATATGCCAAATAATGATATCTTTGCAATTTAAATAAGATTCGGGTTTTAAATTGGGGCCATGTAATCCCAAAATATAAAAATATATTTCCATCCATCTCGAGAAAGGGATCGAAAGAATCATTTTTCCTCGATATTTAATCTACCCATATTTTCCCAAACCAGCGCCTCGTAATCAATATTTTGAGTCATACATCGACTCCATAAATCATTATGAAGATATATATATTCGGCATATTAGTACGTTGCTGCAAGTGATTCCTACGCCGCCCCTCCCAAAATACGAAATTGGAAAGGAGATGTAACCGCTATATCCAGGGCCAACCGCGGAAAATTGAAGGATTTCTAGGGCTCCCATCACCAGAACATCCATAGGTCTTATCCGGGGATTAATGGGTAAAAAATTCACAGACTCTAAGGAATATATGGTGTTTGAAAATATCCAAAATGATTAGTAATATGTTAATTCAAAATATAGAATTCCCAATCGTATAGAAATAATATCTTGAAATATAGCGTTAGTGAGCAACAAATCCTAAGCCAGAACGGGGCATGTCCCAAGCCAATCATCTGCTCCTGAGGGAACAAAAATGCACATTCGCACTCATTCCATTATATCCATTTATTCTATCAACAAATAAATCACTTTCGAGTAAAATATTATTTTTAGATATTGTATTAAAATATATATATATGAAATATGAATTTAATAAATAGATTTAAAAAATATATATTAATATTAAAATAATTAAAATATACTAAATTAATATAAATATAATATTAATATAATTTATATATTTTATTTTAATTGAATAAATATAGTTAAAAACATATTTAAATATTAGTAATATATTAAATGATAGAAATTATAAATATATAATATTGAATAACTATGGGTTTTGATAAAATTATTTATATATATATATATTATTTACAAATGTATAATTAAATTATATATAATTATTGATTTAATTTTATATGTTGAAGTTAATTGGAATTTTGTATAAGAATAGATGTGTTTGATTTAGGAATGATCGACGGATTTTTTTTCTTATGAATAATTTGTTGGTAATTAGAAACTTAGAATATTATTTTGGTAAATTTATGTATTAATATATTGTTAAGTTGTTTAATAATATAATATTATATATTATTGAAATATAAATGTATTTTTTTAAATATATGTTTATTAAAATTAGATATATATATTGATTACATAAATTGATATTATATTTGGATCACAAATTTCTTTAATCAATTCTAATATTATTTAAATTCATAATGTTTCATAATGTTCATTTATATTTATTTTCTATTCTTTTATTTTTTAAATTTAAATCAATAATTTAATTCATAATAAATATTTAATTATTTTATATATATAAGACAGCATCAAAATTACTTATCCGGGGTGTATTCATTTGGTGGTTTACAAGTTTTGCTTAAAAAGAACGTCCCGTATCGTTTTGCAGGCTACGGGACACATCCCTGCCCCGGTGTTTACTACCAAACGATTCTTTGCGGGGACAGCGTCAACGAAACAGCAATGGAATGGAAGCTCCCACAAGCGGGCGTTCCCCGGTATAAAGCCACACGGCGGCCAAATCGCAATCCTTGCAAGCAAAGCAACTCACACCACGGAAACTCACGCAGTGTTGCGTCAATGTAGTTCCTCACCCGTTTGGCTGCTGGAGCTGGAGTTGTTCGCTTCACACCCATGCAGCCGCTTGGGGAGAAAGGACGATGCGTCCAAAGATGCTTGTCACGCCCCCGCGGCACCGCCGGCGCTGGAGCCGCGAGGCTGGCTTCCTCACCGCGGTGGTC